AACACGGAATAGAAAAGAAGATAGCTGTTCATATAGCGTCTCGTTCCTCATGATTTTCCAGATTCATCTTAAGGAGATTCATTTTTTATCATAAAATAGGTCAGGTATGTAAGTAGACGAACACATGTATATATATGTACATATTTACATATTACCAGCAATATTTTCATAGTTCTTATTGATGTTAACAGTATTAATATACATATTTTTGTTTATTACAAATATAAATATGTATTATCAACAGTATTCACAGATATGCTTCACATTCTTATTACTTTAAAGATATTATTCAGATTTTTTACTTCCTCGTGTTTTCCAAGCTGTTAGCAAATTCCAACAGAAGAATAAGGAGAACGAATGGACTTGGGAAGCCAATAGAATAAATGCATACCACAGCAATCCATATGGTAGGCCCTAATACATGGAATCATCATGAAATTACAAAATTATCTAATATCAGGATTCTTAGAACATTATGAAATTCTCAACTGTAGCAATTTATAATCCTTACCTGCCAAATATGAACCTCATCCGTTTTACCAATAGTCAAATATTTCCAAACATCCTTGAAGTAATATATGACTGCATAAAGTAATGGGCCATATCCTAGTAAAATAATACCTATCATGTACTGCTTTAATGTTTTAATTCTATTCTTTTTAATAGCAGATAGGGCAAGGAAACTTAGCATCAAACTTGTGCACCAAATATATTCCCACCACAGAGGCTAAAATGACAAAAAATATATTTATTCATTACTTTTACAGTTCATATTTAAGATTATATACCTGAGGTACTTGGAGCTCCTCAATCTCCAAAATGAATATGTCCAAATGATCTAAAATATCTGCTGACAACTTGGCAAGCATAACGAAGAAAAGAAGATAATGATAAAATATACAATACTTCAGTCTTGATTTGTTTGTTGCGCTAAAAGAATAAATGTTACTTCTAATAAAAACTAAATAACGATCCAGGAGGATTGATTTATTTTTAATTTTCACTCTCATGCACGAGCGCTTTCAATTTCTGAAATATCATTGTGGAATGTCACACAAATTTCAATAAAAAAAAATAAAGAAAAGCAAGTGACGGATCACTTTAATCACATTCTGATTACCTGATTTGATAGTGATTAGCGATTTTTTGCCTATGATTAAAATCGCTCCCATCTGTACCCAGAGCCTGGGACAGTGTTACTTTTGAAGCCATATTTCGAAATTATTGTGACTGATATATGAGAAGCACGTTCCTATTTTAATAAGAGAAACTTATGTATAAAAAATTACGAGGCTGTAATTTAAGATAAACTATCCGGTATTTCATTACCAACTATTTAACTATTTTTAAACTTGTTCAGAAGCTCTGTTTGTGGCCTCATGGGTCACGGATCTCTGCAAATGTGTCACTTTTGTTAAGTCACGTTTCTATAGCGCACAAATTGAATGTCGTTTGCTCTGACGTTCCTTGTTTTTACGAAATGGTACTTCCAATTTATATTACATAATGCATTGTTGTTACATTCTATTAAACATGTAAGAATACAATTTAAAGGAAATATATGTATACTACTGTATTTAATATACGTATCTATGTATAAACATTATAGTGCGAGCACATATATAGCACGTAGTACGATCTCCTTGTTACTACTAGTTATCCCATTGTTTAGTATGATTATTAAATACTAAAAACGTTGCCAAAAGAATTTTGACGTATTATTGGTACTACGGAAAAGCCCATTTCCATGATATAGGCACTACACAACAAGTACACACTACAGTATTCGGTTGAGAACAACTCAGGCAGAGTTGAAGGGAGTGCGTGTACGCACAGTATACTAGAATTACATTAAATTAATTACTGTAACATATTTGTAAACAATCTACTGGAAGTTAACAACAAATGAATATTAACTCGTATTATTTAATCAATAAAGCTTCATGACAATTGAATAGCGATAAAAGTACATTGAAATATACTTCACTTGATTGTTACCAAACAACATATAACAATGTTTTTTCCTTGGGAAATATGGGATAATATTTTTATTCACGCGGATCCTGTGACACTTACAAATTTAAAGACAGTTTGTAAATATTGGAACGAAACCATTTCTAATGTCCTAAAGGTAAGTGAGCATAATCATAAAGTACGCAATTACTATCGTACTTGAATAAAAGGTAAATATAATTATTGATGATTAATTGAACACACATTTTTATAAATGTACAATTATTTCAGATTAGTACTTCATGGCATAAGTTATGTAAATCTGAAATTCCTGAGCAATTTTGGACCACTCTGTGTGAAACCATAAATCCATCAAAATTTCATAGTAACATACATGCAAGTAATGCTGAATACTGGATGCTGATGTATAAACTATGGATGAAATGTAAAAATATGACAAAATGTAGTTCTCAAGTTAATTCTCTTGAACTTATGAAATCGCATCTTTCCGAACATATTAGTTGTGTGACCACTTCAGGTAAATAATACAAGCATGGATAGAAGAATGCTTGAAATTGTTTTACTAACATATACTACTGTTTTACAGGAAATTTAATAGCAGTGGGAACATCAGAAGGATTCATTCATTTCTATGATATGTCTGATTTATCTGCATCCAAACGATATGTTGATCACGTGGCATATTTGAAAAGTATAAATTTTTTTAGTGATGGTGCGTATATATTTTCAATGGCAGATATAATTGAAACAAATCTAAAGAAAATATCTAAGTTCAATTTATTTGTGTTGTAGATAAAAGCTTTACTTGTATATGTCGTTGCATAAATGATAATATAAGCGTTTGGGACATGAAAACTCTGAAAAAAATTAATAGCACCCGTGGGGGATTAATTTGGTATGATGTACAAAGTATCTATTCTAAGCTACTACTAAAACTGTTAACATAATCATTATTATTATTCAAAAAAACATTTAATAGTACCAGTTATAATTTTTGTTATACGGTAAGACAAAGTCTAGTAACTATTGAAGGAAGTGTAGAAAGAAAGAGCCATCGTTTTGGCTACGATAAAATTGTTGCGATTTGTGCAGATAACAACAAGGTAAAAATAGTGGAGGATGATTACTGTTTACGAAATTTATTATTCTTCGATTCGACATATGAATTAACATGTTGTATCTTAGGTAATCTTCTATACAGAAAGCGGATATTATGTTCAAGCAACTTTTGACATGAAAACTAATGAAAACTCGGTTTCGGATTCTGTAAGCGTTAATGAAGAAACATGCATTCGCACATGTGTTCATCCACATATACGAATTCGTCATTATTACATATTTAGGCCAAATATAATTGTTTGCATAACAGGTAAGGAAATGTATGTGTTAAATTTGATCGTCTAAAATCAGTTTGATATTGCTTTGATAATAGTTGATGGGAAATTGGGCTTTTCGATACAAGGACAAGAGTGGAAAATCTATAACATATTTCCTATTTTACATGGCGTACCCACTGCAGTATTAATATATACCAATTTACTAATTTTGGGTTTAGATTCAGGTAACATTCCATGCAACTTAAGAATATTTCAAACTTGTATTAAGTAATTATTTTTTCTTCAGGAAACGTTCATATATTTTATATAAAAGATTTCGCTACGATCGAGTTCGACAAGACTAGATCGAAAACATTAATTCTCGAGAGCACAGGTGTTGTTTCTCTCAATATAATGGTTTATACTGAATTATGTTTAATAGTCGGATATCATACAAAAATTTATGTCATTACGTTTATTTAAGATAATTATCTATTATATACATATAGTAAAAAACAGTTTGATATTATAAAATGTGATTAATTGAATAAAGTATTATTTTTTTATATTTTATAATTTTGTGCTGTTCCAGTTCCGTATATAGCGTCCCATTCAACGTAAGCTGCTAGACTTGATTCTGATACACTAGTACGAACATGTATCAATGCCTCCTTAAAATCATCAACTGTTACGTGTCTTACATCTTCCTTCCTAATATCTTCCAGTTGGGTGAGCGGAATACTCCTAATTGGTCCCATACTTGCTTCTTTGCACAAATTTGTCATGTCTGCTCCCGAATATCCTTTTGACTGTTCAGCTATATAATCTATATCATCCTCAGTAAGATCGTGTGGAACAGTTAACAATAAATTATTTATAATCTGTTTACGGGCTCCAAACTCGGGTAGAGGAACATAGAGCCTTTTAACTAATCGTCTACGTGCTGCTTCATCTAATTCCTGCGGCCTATTAGTTGCTCCTACGATTAAAATTCGATCTTCGTCCGCGGTTGCAGCTCCGTCCAACTGCACTAAAAATTCAGTTTTTAATCTCCTGGAACTCTCATGTTCGGTCTCTGATCTTTGAGTGAGTAACGAGTCTATTTCGTCAACAAAAATCACCGATGGCTGATAAACCCTAGCAACTGCGAACAATGCCCTGACCATCTTCTCTCCATCGCCCATCCACTTCGAAGTTAAGGAGCTTGCGGATATCGAAAAAAACGTTGATTTACTTTGCGATGCTATACACTTGCCTATAAGAGTTTTTCCTGTACCTGGTGGACCAAACAATAAAATACCTTTGGGTGGCCTACGCAAACCCGTGAAAATATCGGGTCTTAACATGGGATATACAACTACTTCTTTAATGATTTTCTTCGCATATTCTAGTCCTGCTATATCATCCCAAGAAGTGGTCGATTTCGAATCCATGATTTCATTTTTTATCAGTTCAACCATTTTTGGGTCTATGTTTTTTAGTCTCTCATCCTCTATCTCCATTGTATCGGTTTCGGTATTGTTCTCCTCAGACTGCATTGCTCTCTCCTTCTCCCGTTTAAACGGACAAACGAATTGAGCATTAAGCGATCCTTTGCCACCTAACGTTTTCTTTCGCGTAGACTTTTCGGACATTTGTTGTACGTTTAATTCTTCTCTAGCGGTTTTGAAGAATTTCGTTTTCGGTTTAAATGTAGAATTTTCCTCATTATGCTGAAGGGAAACATGGGATTTTAATTTCACGGAATTCAGTGATTCGTGACTATTCCCGTTTGTTTTAAAAGAGTTTTGCTTTTCAAATGTAGGGCGTGCTTTAAATTCACTTGTAAATAATTTATGCCCCACAGAATTTTGTTTTTGGTGATTTTTCTTTATAAATGTTTGATTATTATAACTTACTTGGGTATTAATGTTTTCCAAATCCATAGATTTGTTTGATGAAGATAGAGATCTGCTTCTTTCATGTGGCATATCATTTTCAATCCTTCCTGTGGTGCTTGTACTCACCGCTTGATTGAGATTTGATTTCAGTTGAACACTGATCTTCCTGTTTCTTATTGTTGTTTCTTTATTTTTCCATGTATCTACGATATCCTTTATGTGTCTCTCATTAAATAATTTCCCAGGACAAGGCATGGTCTTATCATCTTGACAGGGCAAAGGCTTTATACAATTTATTGCAATATCTACGTCATTTAATCCAGACTTCCACTTTTGTGGATTATTATCAATTCTTGATGTTTGTAGCTTAATCTGCTTCCAATAATTATTTACACCATCTTTATGTTCCATTGAATTTTGATAATCTTCCAAGCTCCTTCGAAGCAAGCAACTTGCTACATCCTCTGATTCACTATAAAATAATTTATTTGTGTTTTTATTGAATTCAGTGAATTACTTACTTTTAAGTAAAAAAATTATGGAATTTACCACTGCTTAGCGGTTAAATATTTGATAGCAAGACACCTGCGTTCAATGTCTACAGCTTCTAAGTCATCCTTATCAGTTTTTGAAAATTTTAAAATATGATAGGCAGGTAGAAAATTATTTTTCACTTTATTAGTTTCTGCTTTAACATTATCCATTATTTGATTTCATTAAAATCAATTTTATGTATTCTATATATTCTCTATCACATCAAATGTAGAACTTAACTAATTGCCATTAATAAACTACTTTTCTCTTTCGTTTGTGTCAATCGAGAATTTCATCTGGACAGTCCCGAATGCCTCAGCTGTGCGACGAACAGCCGAATGAGCCGAATGCAGTTTGCCGCGTCTCGGTTACACTTACACGTCCACAATAATGTGGACTATATGTAGCTCGTTCGGCCTCGCCTTCCCTCGTTCGCATTCGTGCTCAAATGAATACCCGGCTTTATGATCACATGCAAGCTTGGTACCATAAGTGCCACCTTGTGCCCATATTCTAGTACGTAGAGAGTGAATCTACCGACGATTGCTACTTCTCTACGTACCTACATTACCTATGTGCAAAACAGTGAAAAGTTGCAGTATCGAGACGTATCACCAAGCACCGAGGAGAGATTACTAAAAAGTGGCGGGCTCCCGGATCCGGATGGCCCGTTTAGCTCTGTTTCGGCTCGCTTTGGTCCATTTAGGATCATCTTAACGGTCCTCCGATCTTGGTAAGTAGATATAATTTCTAATTCTTATTAATTAGATAATTCATTTTAATCACCAAATTAAGAATTCATGTAACAAGGAAAGATTGACGGTTGGAAAGAGGATATATATATTTTTATTTTCTTTATTATCATACGCTGTCGTTGTTATAATTATGATAAAGATTAAGATTACACAAGTACTCTACAAGTTAGTTTTGATAAGAAATAAGGGCGTAAAAGGCTCACTGTCCTTCCATTTTCGTAAAAACTGGAAGACGTAGAGTTGTGTATCGAAATTACTATCGGTTAATCGTTAATACAACGTACGAAATGTACAAAGCAGGCACCATTCATTTCGGCGCCCAGTTATCTACCATCTTACAACTATGTGTCTGACGTATAAGATTAATGTTTTATTGTAATTCGAACGTTTGAGAGAACTCGTTCGCATCGCGATTTCGATGGCGAGTTCGCGTTGCAGACGGTTTAAGGCGATTTAAGTACTATTATCGATTTTGGCACTTAGATTTACCATTGCACTGATCAGAAAATGGTACCGCTTTTATTTCCTGAATAGGGAAACTTATTTATTTGCTTCTTTTTCATTTTGTTACACGCGCTCGTCATTGCATGTGATCGATTTTTCGCGTTTCGACTTCGCGCTTATGTAAATTCGTGCGAATCTCGTTATAAAATTTATACACGGAGACGGCTGTCCCCGAGAATTTAGAATTTTACCCGTTTCGATGAGAGTCTATTACGTATACGGTAATCGTAATACACATTTAATCGTACGTATGTAGTTGCGATATATTCCTTGCGTTCGTGAAGTCAATAACTAACGTCTAAACTCTACAGAAAATTGACCACACTACGCTTTTCCTCGCTACTTTGGCATATCGACCGAAACAGAATATCGTCTAGCGTTTATAGACTCTCGTACAGAGTGGCGAGTACGTAATTGGGTATTAACGAATGTAGCTCATTAAATTACTGCTTTTTTATACATCTCCCACGAAGACATTTCCTTAGGTTGATCGCTAAATAGGCAGTTATTTGGAATTCGCATAAAATATTATCTCTCTCTTTTTTTTATTCTCTCTCGTTTGAGTAAGGCAAATTGTCAGGCTATCGTACGTGAAGTATTGCTTTAGCAAATCGCTTTAGCTCGGTAAAGCGATGCAAAACTGCTAACGTTACGACGCTGTGGTACCCGTTTATAGTTTATTTTGTGCACAATATTAAATTAGTACAAGAAAGGAGACAAATTGAGGCACGATGAAATCTGACGCATGCGATGCATTGTTCTACGATAGATTTACCAACGTGCAAAAAATATTAGATAGCGATTTCAAATAATCTTCATTGAGAATAGTATAAATTTTTCATAAACAATGCAACGGGGCATTCAGATGATTCTTGTAACTTAAACTTCACGGGAATAAAGCTGATGCTTCAACATTATGTGTGTAATCGAATTGCTGAGCGGCTGGGCTCTAAACAATTAGCAATGCGTTAAAGAATACTCTCTGTCGAATGGCTGACATTATTTTATACAATGTTACCGAACGTTCGGCCGCATAAGCATATAGATGATCATGCTAGATGATGAGCGCAATGGTACCACGGATTCACCGGGACGATTATCATCAGTGCTCGTAACGTGAATGATGCATGTGTTAAAAGTGTTGGGCGCAGCGAAAATCATTGTGACATGTACACGTCCAACAATGTATTCGATTGAACATAAGAAACGTTTATTTATTGGTAACTGTTACAATGCTCTCTATATGCTTAAGCAGTACAGCGTTCTTTCGTTTGCTATTTCGACGTTTCTACCGCGGCGCAAGCATACGAGATTACCGAGAAGTTTATCGTGCTAAAGTTCAACCTTTCACTGTGAGAATACGCGCAGAAGTCACAGCTTTCCGGCCGGGACGAAACTTTAAACGAGTCCAAAGTCGGTGTGAACGGTAACGTCGCAGTTGTTCGGCTTCTCCGCAGCCGCCATATTTACTTCCACCAACGTGTCCACGCTGTTAATCGGACAGCCTTTTAGAATTTTTTGAGCGGCCAGGCTAGTGAACTGCACCTGCATATCGCTGAGGCTCGGGTACGAATAAAGGTCCCCCCGGCTGACCGTTTTCTCGAGATTCGGTTCCGAGCCTTGCGGTGCCCTTTGCTGTTTGGTAGCCTCCAGATTCTCTATGTAGACGTTGTTGAACGAACCGCCGAAACCGTCGAACGATTTCGTGGGCGAGGGTGGGTTCGACGCGATGTTATTCTTCGAGCCCGGACGGAGGAGGTTCCTGTAACTGAGAGCGTCTTTCGACAACGATAAGCTCAATTTTCGCGAATTGTTCATCGCGTCATTCGTATTCTTCATGCTCGACAGCGTGGACGGCGGATGCTCGTTCACCAACGAGTTCTTGTCTATGTTGTTCGTCGATCCATCTATCAGATGCGCCTGGCTGTTGTTCAGCCGATTCGTCAACTTCAATTTGTTAGACAGCTCCTCTTCGGGTTTCGGTTTGTTCTCTTTGTCGGACTCCGACAGCGGTTTTGATTCTTTGGAAGCGTAGAGCGAGGACGGACGTTCGATTTTGCTGGATTTGTTCAGTTTCTCCTCATCGAGCTTCGACTTGAACAGCTTCTCCTCGTCCATCTTGCTCTTGTACAGTTTCTCGCCGATCAACTCCCGGTCTTGCTTCTCCTTGCAGTCCATCGGATCCTTGTCGGCCACCTTGGTCTTAACCGTACCGTTTTCGAACGTGATCACCGATCTCATGGGAGAGTTGTTCTGCTGCACGTAGATCTTCGTGCCGGGTGAACCGGAAATGGTGGTCGTGCTGCTCGCATTCGAGGCCAGTGTCACGCTGTTCTGAATGGCTCGTTGCTCCTGCGACGGGCTAACTGGCGTCAGATTGGTCGATACTTGCAGGGTTATCGAATTTTGCGCTTCCTGCAGTGGAGTCAGGGATCCTTGTTGAACCACCTTCAACGGTGACGATTTCGCTGGTAGAGTCGACGTCTTCAGCGGGGACGACGAGAGTTTACCGCTCGAGATCGATTTTCCACTGGAGTGGGTCGAGTGTCCGGACGAAGTCTTCTGCAATACCTGCAATAGCAAAGTACTCTTAATACGAATACGGTTGAAACGATATTCGATGGATCATTGGTAAAAGTACGATGCATTCGAATTGAGGGTATTTACCTTGTGCTGGGGCGATCCGTTCGATTTCGTACCACTGCCAGTAGAATCGTGACTCGTTCGTCTCGAGTTCGATTGTCTCGTGCTGGATCTGCCTAACGTGGCCGTCTTGGCCGGGCTCGCGTTCGTCGTTCGCATAGATCCGGAGCTTCCGCCGCTTCTGCTCGGCGACGAGTTCGTCGAGTTCTTGCCGTTCTGCGTTTGATTGCGGCTCTGATACGGTTCCTGGTTGCCACTCGGCGGCAGGACAGAAGCCCTCGACGTGCATCTGCTCAGACTGGAACACTTGGATCTGGGCAACGTCGAGCAGGGTGATCGATGTCGTCGGGAACTCCTCGGCGTCGAGTTGGCCAACAGACTCGATGAATCGCCGCTCGCTTGTCGCCGATGTCGCCTGGGCAGCGTGGCCGACCGTACGGAACTAGAATCGTCCCATACTTGGAAACTGGCCTGCGATTGATCTAGGCCCTCCATCATCTGAAAACGTTATGTACTCCGTTGTCAAGCTTGACCGGGCTCGCGCCTCTCGGGGCGATGCGATGTCGCGACGATTTAATCTCCGCGCTCGCGTTCGATTCCCGTCTGTTGGGATGAAAAACAACCGGGATGCTGCTTTCTTTCAACAAGGAGCATCGCCTCGACCCTGCGATACTCACCGAGGGGCTGGCCGCTCTTGTCTGCGTCGCCACGCTGTGCAGGTGAACGACACGCGGGTTGAACCACTCGGTCGGCGGATACTGGGCGCTGAACGTGCCCATTAACGGTGCGCCCTTTCTTCGTGTGCTGCGTCGGAATAGCCTCGACAGCAGACCTATTTTCTCTGAAAAAATCCCGGAAAAACCTTGAGAAAAAGAGCGGAACCGATGTCGTATTTCGTAATGAGAGAACGGGGATCGAGGAAGGGCTTGCCAGCTAGGGGTGAACTAAAAAGCTTCGTTCTTCTCTTGTCTTTTTTCTGAGTTGGTGGATGCCGCGGATTTTCGGGAAATTTGGGAATCGCATTTCCGTTTAAGAGATAGATGGAAGAGAGAGCGTCATTAAACGACTTACTCGCCCGAGACACGGACGACGCTTCGAATGAAAGTTTCGTTAACCGAAAGCTGTAACGCAGGTGCTCATCCCAGCGTGATAAGCATTCCTGTTTCTTATCTGTGTATTGAGCAACTCTTTCACCTTTTCTCGATATCCTTCGAGTGTTTCACTCTCAGAACTTGTAAGGAAGGGTATTCTTTCTTACGCATCAAGCGTTGCGAACTTTTAATTGAGAGATCACGACCCATGATCCAAGCGTCAGATTCGAATAGGAAGCATGTCCCGAATAAAACCGATCACCCGTCACCAAAACAATCCCTTCCCCGATTCGACTCACTGGTTGGGCTATGGGGCGCGCTGTCGGTGCTCGCGTATTCGGCGCTCGACGACGTATCGCTTCTTTCCGGCCTCCGCGGCAAAGACCGCGAGCTTCCACTTCTGTGCAAGCGTCGGGCGGATCCCCAAAGCCGTAGCGAGTGTCGCCTCTCAAGGCGACTGGGCATCGATCGACATCTCGCGAACAGAACTTTGTCGTTTGGATTGCCTGTGGGAAAATATAAATTATGTCCTTTTTCATATCTTCGTTAAAGAGACAAATCTAATAATCGAATACCATTTGCTTATAAGATTATTAGATAAGACAGGTACAGTCGTAAACGTAGGATTGTATAAATCAGTTTCGTTGTAAAGAAAAATATGTTGCCCTAAGGAGGTAACAGAAAAGGTAAATACGAAGTGTGAGTTGTTTATTCGGCACTGATATTCGGTACCTCGGTTTGCATCATGGTCCGCGCGCGAGAAGGTGTCCTCAAAAAGTGGAACACCCTCGTCCCTGATTTTCATCGTGGTACACAGCCAGAGGCGGTGACGACGACCGACTGTGGGTTAGCAGCGTGAGAATCACTCGGTGAACGAGTCAGAGAAAAGTAGGAAGATTATATACGTGGCCCCCCACGTGATCTCGACAGCGTGTGTAACGGTAGACATTGTCGTGACCAATAGCTAATATATCGGTTGTGCTAAACGCTTTCCAGGGATTGCGCCGAGTTGGCACGAACTCTGTTCACCTCTGCTTGTATGTTCACCGATGCTCGCGTGTACGTCCTCCATACTCGCGTAGCTAGGTAGGATATACGTATACCTACTCCGTGGCGACGTGTGTAAGAGGCGAAGAAGCGTGTAAGGTGCTGAGAAGGTGTTTCCGTGTCAATGCGCCAGAAAATTCCAGTTCGCGCGGTTCCGAAACTTCTAACCGAACGGGGGGGCGGCTATTATAACGCGAGCGGAACGAACACGCCGAAACGAGAGTAGCGTGCATTTAGTTAGGCGAACATGCGAGGATGGCTCAGCCCGATCAATGCCGTCGGGTTAACAATGTACGTGGCATCGTTGCACGCAACGTTTTCTAGAGAAGACGCTGATAGCGCAATATATGGAAGTGGTATTATCGTACAATGCTGAAATCGCGTTGACCATAGCGAGAACGAGGCGTGCAATCGAAAGAAAACGTCGACTTTTCTTTATATAGAACCGCGTGATATCCGTTTCCATTTGAATTTCTAATTTGAAAGCATGTACGCGGGCATAAATTCGTGACGGAGACGACAGCCACTCTAAATACCGAGATAAAACCGGCGCAATTTAAATCGAATCGCGATGATTTTTCGATCCGGTACGACGGTGGAATGCACCGTCTTCCGACGCGAGGCTGCGTGGCTGCCAAGGACAACAACAACATAAACGCACCGGACTCGTCCATCGAGTTCAGAGAAAAAGATCTCCCGGTGCCTGTCGGAGCTATCGAACGCTCCTGTTGGACACCGGGAATGGACCCCGAACACGTGCCGAACGGGTTCGACTAGTCTATACGGATGAGTTCCCTGGCAGAGAAAGGACTCCGCGTTTCCTGACTATTCTTTTCCGATGAAAACGCGGAAACGAATCTCGGCTTCGCTTCCTTTTACGTCTGTCTAATTTTCTCATCGTTCCTTTTTCGTCATGAAATTCATTTTTAGATCGTTCGAACCATTGTCGTAAAGTTTGAACGTAGAATTTGCTGGACAAACAGCAAACTTTTTGATAAGATTTCTTACCTCCGCAAATGACGTCCGCCAGATTTGTTTGCACGGCTTGATGCGTCACGTCGCCGTCCCTCAGAGTCAGCATTTCGCCGTGTACGAGCGCCATGGCCTCGTCATTCGACATGAGCATGCTTCCTTGACCCCTGGACCCGCTCACCTCTCTGGAGCATCTCCTGGAGTTGCTCGAATCGCGCCTGAGCCTCCTAGTCTCGGGCGTGACCACGAAGTAGCCCTGGGACGTGTGATAGATCTTACGTTCCTGCATCAATTTCGCCAGGGCATCGTAAACTAAATCGCGGTTTGGTTTCTGCATAGCCGGGAACGCGTTTCTAAGTGCCGATCTGAGCGTATCTAATGTAGCCGCCTGCCTCTGAGAAGTCAACTCTAAAATGGCCCAACAAAGAGCTTCCGGTAGCGGCGTGAACTGTCCTTGAGCCACCGGGGCGACCAGGCAATCCTCGATATCGCCTGAAACAGGAAGGAAAATCGCAATTACACTGGTTGCTCTCCGGAATAAAATGAATTACGGCTGGCAGAATCGCTCGAAACGAAACGTATCTCCCCCCCGATTTTATATAGTGGTTCTTTGGTATGTCGACTTTTTCCCTTTCCACATTTTGTAAGACTAATGCCCGACGCCCACTGAAAGAGATCAAGGCTGGTTGTAACGCGAGACAACCGACAGATGTAAAACTTTATAGAACATGAACGATAAGAATCGCGCGTAACGTCGACGTGTGCCTATTCGGATTTTTAGAGTTCTCGCGTTCATTGAAATTCTCCGCGCATATTCGCTCGACGGAATAAAACCGTAATAGCCAAGCTGGCTGCCAGAAACTGGCGACATTCAGGCCTTTCTAGCCTCGGCCGAGGCGGTTCGAGTTTCCACTCGCGTACCGGTTACAAACAGGCTGTTTCATTAATGAATACGCATTACTAGAACCGCGAACTTTTGCACAGTATCAAATTTTTGTGAAAACTTCAAATACTCGAATGCCATCGACTCGCTGGCAATGAGTGCCGTAACACGTAGGGGAGATTCGCGTTAGGGGAAATGTTCTGCGCATCTCAATTTCAAATCTCTCGTTTGATCCTGTTCCCAATACCGTCGCAATAAAATTCACCGACGCTATCTGCGTCACCCAGATTATTCTCGTATAATCCCAAGATAGTCATACCTTGGGAACATAAATATTATGTATTCACGGGACGAGGTGCTTTAACGCTGTGAAACATATCGAATTTCGTTTTCAACAGATTGGGGCGGGGATATTAAGTTCCTGACAAGTGCATAGTTGCAAATACGCGACGTGCATTCGCATGCGAGCGACGTAGGGTAGATACGCTTGTAAATCCACTTACAGAATTATTCCCGTGGATCCGTCGTGCATAACACAGCGCGATGCGCGCGTAGGTATGCCAACGCGAGAGCAGAAAATTTAAACGATCACGCGGATCGCATAATTCATAACTATTTCTTTATAATACCACCAACGATCTGCCCATTCGAGCAAAATTATCATCAACTGAAACTAAAACTAATTCGAATTTCCTATAAAGCGACTGCTAAACGTTTGGCTTACAAATTAGGCTAGTACGGAGAGTAGAGAAAGAGAGAACTCTGGTTTTTCGTTTAATCTAAACGCAACCTTAGAATCGTACGTACTGATCGCTGATAAACACATATTTATGGACGGCATTATTTAATACACGTTCATTAAACTTTATACGACGTAATGCAACGTTCCACCGTTGATCGTGCGAGAGTGTCTCAACCTTTCGTGCGGGGAACGGACAAAAATCATCGTTAAATTGCGGTTATAAGCGGTTGCCGATAATACTACGGTGTATGCCTCCCAGTTCGCGATAAATATCTTCTCCACCTACTTGCGATATCCTCGACGGTGGCATCTGTAATTTCTAAATTAGATACGGGTCGAAACGTGTACACACATTGAATTTTCGCGAAACGAGATGCATTCCCACGTGCAAGATCGGAATCGGACTAAAACCGGCCTCCGGAGCAGAGAAAACCGTTCTGGTATAGACCAGAACAAATCAGCTCCGAGCTAACAATACCTAATTAGCGTTTTAAAACGTCAGTCAAACGGCGTTCCATATAACACGCTCGCTACGGGGAAAGGTAATTAAGACTGCGATGGAAACTGAAAATCTTCGACGGCTTCGTGAAAAGGAAAGGGAGCACGCTACTTATCTGTTCGTGCGGCGAAATTGACGTTTTTGTTGTTCCGGTCACGTTTTAAGGTGACTTTCCAACCCCCGGGTGCCTACTGCTTTCGTATATTTCGGTTCACGCCTACAAAAAGACCGTGGATTATTCTAAGTCTGCGACTACGAACGACTCCGAAATTCTCGTGGTATCCGCACGATCGTGCCGGGAATATTCAATGCCCCGTCTAGGGTACAATGTGTAGCAAACGGCTTGTCATCGGAGAGACTGTGTCGCAACCTCCGGGAAACCGTATCCTTCGCATTCTCTTCTTTCTGGACACGTACGATTATTCTCACGTTTAGTTCTACTATTTTTTGGCCACGCGGATTCTTGACACATCTTTAAAAGTGTATTCTACGTTTCGAAGGCGTCAGCGTTCTTAATTAGTTTTGTTATTACTATCATGGTTGGTGGCAACGGTTGCTGAGATACAGAAGCAGATTATGTAAGACACTCCGGAGTAATTAAAAGAGAATTAACCATGTAAATTAGTAAGCTTTTCTCTAGATGTTGGATTCCAGCCAAATTGTCCATTATTTAACTTGAAACATAGTTCCACATTCAGCGATAGCGCCTAGGCAATTAAAACTTACAAGTCATTGCCTACTGTTTCAATGCATACGTAAAATTAGTCTTTTCTCACTTGGGATTTGATGAAAATTTAATCGCAATTATGTTGCCCGGATCACGACACATTTTTGACTGGTTATATTAGCAGTTTGGATGGCACAGATGGCCGAGGGCGTTATGAAAGTTAACTATCATTGCTATACACAGAGGACCCCGTGACACAATAAAACCGGGTTGAATAATCTTATTCGCTCGCCGCTTTGTGCACGGCTTTGAAATGTATTTTAATATATTTCACCCTCATCCCTCTGCGTACCATATGCGAACTTCGTAGGGTAGTTCAGGCTGCTACACGCGATATTGCGCTGACCCTCGACGGATATCGATCGTCCTGCTCCGAGATTGAAAACCATCAACTAAACGTTGCGCGATGCTGCGCCGCGTTCAAGTATCGTTACGTAAACAGAAGAATTTAATTTTTTCATGCACAAAACGAGTCCAAGGATATTAAAGAAAGAATTAATGCAAGACCGGAAAAATTAAAAAATATTAGTTCCGCCGCATACGAAATGTCTTTTAATCTCCCAAGTTTGAATTTCATAGTCGAAAATAGTTTATCATGTATTATCTCATCTCATGTTACGAATCGAAATGAAAATTAAATAGCCCGTAAATCGATAAGATATTGCAGTTTTATTAGGAAGTATTAATCTGTAAAACCTGATTTAGGATTCGCAATCTTTAATACATGAATAGTAATGGAATTATTCAATCATTTACGAATATGTAAAACTAACTGAATGATTGCATGAAAAGCAGATCTGTATCTGTCAAGTTTGAAGAAAACATTTCGTATACACCATGCTAGTACTTTTATTAATAATCGATAGAATTTTCGACCGTTTTCTCATTCGTGTGTCTGATATTGTATACTCGGACAGACCGGTGTGCTCGTTAATGAACAAATGAGTAAAACTCGCGGTAGCCGCAAGAAGCGCATCGAGGTCTCGCCGCGCCGGTAATTCCATACGGAGCTTGTCCGTCCTATTTACGACAACCCTTTTAACAAGAATACTAACTCGAGTAGGCGTTGTTTTCTGGTGTAGCTGGACACGTAATTACAGCTCTGTTCCTTTGCCAGTCCGCGAACGAGGATTCAAAGCAAACTATATAGGGGACTGGAACAGTGAGCATAATCGGATGCACGGAAATGGCAGTGATCCGTGATCTCGACCTGTTCCACGGGGTAGATTCATTGTTACTGCGGTCATTTGACTAAATTAAAAAGAGAAAGACTCGTACGACCTTCGGGAATTGTGAATTGAGGTGACAAATGGTTATAAAAGATAGTTTATATGTATTTCTATTAGTTATTGCAATATATCACTTGAATGCGCGTTTTCTATAGATTTCGAAATTTAATTTCCACCATAAATTCTGTACATCGAATTTTCCTATTTACGTGCTCGAAACCTGTTCGCATCGCCGGGTAATATTAGATTTTCAATTTCAATCGGCATCTGACGTATGAGATGCGTATACTTAGTTACATCGGACGTTATCGCGAAAATCATTCTCGTTAGGGAAGAGCTCGATGATTATGATTCGTTCGCGACTTTCTCATGGAATATTCAATGCGCGTGCGAGGCCGTTTCAATGGAAAACTTGGAAACGGTCGCGCGCGAGGTCCAGTTGCCCACTTCCCTGGAATTTCTCCGCGACCCACGAAGCTAGTTGCGCGTACGTAATTATGCAAGGAGGTAGCCCACCCACGCGTGCCGTTTAAGGAACCAGCCGGGGGCAGACGGAGAGGTCCCCGGTTGTGAGAACGGCGCCGACAGGTGCGCGAAACCGTGTCTCATAGCGATTCGCGATTGAAACTTCTCTTACCGCTTAGTTGACTCAGAAATCAATCACCAACGACTCTGCTTAAGGATGTATT